ATTTCCTAGACTTATCATGGAAATTGCCCGGAGGGGAGATGGGTGATCGGGGGGGTGGGGTTCTTATCGCACGTACTGACAGTACGTTGCTATGGACTGCATTGAAATTGGGGAACTGCCCTGTGGGAGACCTGGCGGGATGTGGCTCCATCCCGTTTGATGACTGATGTGGTTCGCGAGATTTTGGATAATTGTTACACGGGTGGGAACGTTTGTTTTGAACTGATCTTGGGGATACGTGGTTTCGCATATGCTTTCAAATGTGTGAAGTAGAGAGGAGGATGCGAGGATCTATCTTGTAGCCTAGTCGTAGGATGGGTAATGATGGGAGCAATTGGGACGGGTTGCTATTCGAATTGCCGCTCTGACGGCAGAATCGAGAGATGGGTCTAGTTATTGTAGTAATTTGTTGTGACTTTACCTTTGGTCTTGCCAAGAACCCGCAGGCTTGCATAAGGAATTAGTAACGGAGCACTTTCTCGGCATCTGCTCGCCCGGAGCACTCTGTCGGCATTTGCTCCCCCCCTTTTTTTGTTTTGTTTTTTTTCTTTCCCCCTTTTTTTTGTGCTAATAATGAACTGGGAAGTGAAGGAAGTTGATGAGCTCGCCTTTGTTGGCTGGTGTTATACTCCCGACTTCGGTCAACAATAGATTTTAGCGAAGTATTTTTGTGACTGTATGCAGATGTGCTCACATGGTTCTCGTAGGACTAGCGGGATTTTTTATCGGTTTCATATGAGCTTCGGTTTTCTTCTGGTGTGTTTGGCACTGTTCTTCGCAGTTGTGAATCTTAGTAACTTTCGAGTGGGTTGTTGAAGGGAGTTCCCTCTGGTGATACGTACCATGTGTGACTTTTTCGAATTTTGTTACTTTCTTCGTCTTGATGACCTATATCCTGTTCGAGTGTTCAATCGTGCTGGTATCAGGAGTTGGCTGTTGTGATCTTTCCAATTTTTTGACACATGCGCTCATGCTTATATCTTGATTGGAGTTTGAACATCTGGTGTGAAGCTTTATTGTTGGGGTACTATATTCTTACCACACACACATGCACACACACACGCACTCTCTCTCTCTGTTTCTTTCGAGAGAAAGGGAGCACGCAGCTCTATGTGCGAAGTTTTTTTTTTTTTTTTTTTGAATCAATCAATCAATCAAGTTTTCAATCAAGCATTCAATCAATGAACAAGCAATCAGTCAATCGACAATCAATTAATCAATCAATCGATCAATCAATCAAATTGAATCAATCAATTTTTATTTGTTTATTAAACTTTATTTTGTTTTTTTTTTTTCGTTTTGATTATTATTATTTTTTAAATATAAAAAAATATAAAAACATATGGGGTGTAGAGCACGAAAGGCTCTACATCCCCATACATATATACAGGGTTGCCGGCGTTCGGGACGGGCCGAACGCCCGAACCCGAACGCCCGAACCCAAATGCCCGAACGTACGGGACCCCTTCGGAAGGTGTTCGGCCATTCGGGCCGAACGCGGAAAAAAAAAAAAAAAAAAAAAAAAAACAATTCACAAAATTCCGAAAAAAAAACTATGTTATGGAGAAAACTAAACTAAACAACATTTGCCCGGGCAGTACATCCAAATTCTTTACCAAATTTGAATGAAAAATCAAATACAGAAAATAAACACTATGATAAAAATAAGAAAAAATAAAAAGAGAATTGAAATGAGTGAGTGTGCCAACACCTTTTCGACACCGACATCTTTGCCAATTTTTAATTATTTTTTGGCATTGACAAATGCCCTGAAAAGTTACAGATATGTAGTTTACATAATCAGTAACTCATTAAAAAATTTTCAAAAAATAATAAAAGTTTTTAGGCCCCGAAATAAAGTGAAAACAAAAAGTTAAAAGAAAAAAACAACAAAATAGTGAGTGGGCGAGCATGTTTTGACACCCCCATCTTTGACGATTTATAATGTTTTTTTGGCTTAGCAGAATGACTTCAAAATTTATAGGCGTGTAGGTTACATCTGCGAGGATCAGGGTCCTCGGTAGGCCTTTGGGGCCCTGTCTACAGCCTTACCCGCCCTAAGTGAAGGCGGAGGTGCCCGCCCTAAGTGAAGGCGGGCCTGGCTTTTTTCAAAAGGCCTTCGACTGTCAATTTCATATTCGGGGTTCAGGCAGTTGCGACGCGCCAGTTGGTTGAAAGAAACACAGGCCGAGCAACAAGGACATTTCCACGGCCTACCGGGCCTTTCCAAAGAATGCAGGCCCTGGCCGTGATTTGCAGCCTCATACAGAGACAGTTGGGCGCCCAACCGAACAAGGCCCAGCAGCCCAGTAGCTACTGCATCCAGGCAGACCCCTGGGCCCTTTCGGAAGCTTCTGGGCCTAGGCCAAGGCAGCCAGGCTGCATGAGCAGGCCAACTCCTTCCATAAAGGAAAGAGCTCGGCCCTGGCTGCCTCATTCAGGCACTCGCATGCTGGGCGGCAGCGCTGCTGGAGCTTATGCTCGTAGGCTGCTGCTAACGCGGAGAGGGGAGGTGCAACACGTGCGGTCGTGCAGAGGAGGAGGGCGCTGCTGAGGGCAGCGCCATAGCCCAGCCACCATAGCTGGTGGGCTTGGACTATAGTGAAGCGCAGGGGTGGTCTTCGGGTGACAGAGAGGACAGGTGTGGGTGAAGTCAGGGGATAGGTGAAGGATGATGATGATGATGATGTGAGGGCACGTACCTTGTATTGGCGATGGTCTGCATGAGCGGCATCTTCAAGTACTTCGGGTTGTTGCTGATGTCAACAGTTGCATTGTCTTTTTGTAGCCTGTAGTAGCTGTATAGGAGTAGGCTGGGCGCCGAGCACCAAGTGTGAGTGTAAGGGAACTGGACACTTGTGTTGAGAGGAGAGAGTGTGCTCTCCACAAACATTGGTTTTCAGTGCTACGAACTTCCATTAGTGTATTATTGGTGCAATGCTTCTCTTTGGACACAGTGTGACTATTTGGCTTTCAATGTGATTGTGTGAACTGGAATTGTCATCTCGCTGTTACTTATTTTCCTTGCAATTTGGTATCAGAGCTGGTTCATATTGCGCTTCATTGGTTCTTCGCAATAGCTATTGGTGCTTCGCATGAGGTGTGGGGCAGTGATACGGCATTGGCGTTGAACATTAGGCGGCCCAGGGTTGTGTGGGCGCGCCGGGGAGCTATGTGGTGACATACGGGATGTATGCAGGATGATGAGAACTCGCTGATGTGACATACTAAGCTGAGGTGGAACCGCATTCTGCTGTTGGTTGTGCCGAAGCAAAGACCGGTCATCATAATTGCACATCAGGTTACCGGTGAGAAATCTGTGGTTGGGGGCAGCACTATAAGGTACGTTGCTCTCTTCCTTATCTACCCTCTTCATCTCTTCTTACCGTGAGGAAGTGAGTTATGTCTTGAGAGTCCTCTCGATGTGAGGTATCGCGAGCGCTCAACCTTGAGAGTCGACATTCTTCCTGGGCAGCAAGCTGGTGGGAGACGGGCGAAGCCTTTGAAGGGCCCTAGACGAAGCACTCGGGTCACGATCACCATGCCAACCCGCTGGGACTAGTACACGCATGCTTGGGCGCAAGTCCTTGGATCTGCTGCTTGCGCAAATAGGGGTCAAGTCGGGCATGGCAGCCTCTATGAGACGCTCACCAGACCGTCTATAAACATTTCTGGTTGGGGACTCGGATTGAATCTGGTTGTGATCGTCGTCCTGATTGCGACGTTAAATAATTCCTGCAGAGATGGGGGCGCTCTTAATAATCCTCCTAATCAGCCAGATCAACCGGGTGTAAGGCTCGTCGACGTACGAGGATAAATAAGAGTGTTGTGGCTGCCTTGCTCGACGATGACTTGAGGCACAGGGGTGGGACCGGATTGCACACCTTTAGACACGCTGCTCAACCAGATGCTCAGGGACGTTGACACAAAGTGACTACTCAAGAAGGATACAGGGGKAGGGGGGATTCYGGTAACTGTTCRCAGTGGCAMTCAACAGACTATCTGCCATCTAGTATACATCTCCAACAGGAGATGTTATTTTCTGTTTTGATTATCTAGTTGTTACGGACTTGCTGACAACTGACAGACAACTACAGATAGACTAGATCTTTGCTGTATTGCAATCTGTTCCAGGGTAATCTAAAAATAGATGTAATATATCATGTAGGACCTGACATTAGTTGTAATTATATCACCTAACTGTTTTGTCCCATCCGACCGAAAGTAGTTGTGTGTCAAGCTAAGGTAGGATTCAGTGTGGATTCTAGTTTAGATCACACACACTGTAGCTCATGAGTGATGCAAGCACAAGTGAGGAGGAGATACTAGTGGACGACCGTAGGACTACTCACGGGACTGCCCGCAGTCGACCCTTGACTTTCTTGGAGTTGGCTCCAGGAGAAGAGAGAAGATTGAGGAGAGAGGCTAGAGAGAGGGCAACGGCAAGGAGGGCGAGCGCAGCTGAGGACAGTGCTAGGGCTAGTATTTCAGCTAGCACCGGTGCAACCATGGCTACCTCAGCCATGTCGCAAGCCTCTACACAAGCCACGTCGTCGGGAGTCAGTCAGAGTAGCACTCAGGCAGCCACTAGTCAGATTGGTCATGTGCGAGTCAGCCAATCTCCTATCACGCCGGAGGACTTGGAAATCCGGCAAGCAGAAGAACTTCAGGATGAGCTACAGCGGCAGATGGACGAAGTAGTAGARAGGAGAAGAAAAGCTATGCAACGAAAAGCTAGACTAGAGAGTAGATTGCAGGAGCTAGGCAGACTGGAAAGACTAGATGAGGCAACATTAGACCCTGYTGTCYGTGTGCTGCGAGGCGCCTWACTTTCAGTKGCGGAAGCGCAAAGCGTTCAACAGGAATTGTTGGCTGATTTGGTAGCAGGCCAGAAACAAATTCTGGCTGAACTTCGGGGCACTCGCCCAATGGTGAGGCCGSCACAGTTTGCGGTAGTTCCCCCTGCAGCTGCGGGTCCATCATCGATGCCGCAACGCACAGGGCAAACTTTCTCTCCCATGTTTGGCATGCCCTCCCCGGGTGGTTTAGTAGCAACTAGTGGTCCGGTTCATTCAGTCTCAGCCGTACCATCTACAACAATGGTCACTACAGTCCTACTGTCCAGCCAGGCTCAGGTTAGTATGCAACAGCCTGTTCCAGTGGCTATGCAGCCGCTGCAGCAAGCACCTGGGCCCATGCAGCCTATGCGGTGGATGCCCAAGATAGCTTTGATGAGCCCAAAGCCCTTCTCTGGCGATAAGAAAAAGGAGGAGAACTTGGACACCTGGGTGAGAACTGTGCCTACCTATGTGAGGCATAAGCTCACAAGGCCAGAGCAAGAAGTTGTAGTGGCTGCCTCCTTTTTAGAAGGATCAGCAGCCCGCTGGTTAAATGGCTTAGTGCAGCAACAGGGCTACGGTCAAAACTTTGATGCACAATCCCAGACATTGGAAGAGTTCATACGGTCCGTGTACAACAGGTGGCATGACCCACAAGGGGCTCAGAAGGCCACTGACGCTATCAACAGTCTTTGTTCCCGAAGGTTCAAGAATGTTAGAGAGCTTAAGGACGCAGTAGAACAACTAATCGTGGTACCTGGTGTGCGTTTTGACCAGCAGGTTCTCCTAACGGATTACCTAAGGTGCCTACCTTCAGAGGTAAGGACCAAGCTTGTTGACGGAGCCTATGTTGAACAACACACCTTCGCTTCTTTCGATAAGAAAGCTCTGGACATCGAGGCAAAGCTAGGATCTGCGCATCAGGCACCCAACGATGGTAGGAAGAGACTGCCCCTAGATTGGAAGAAAAAGGGTCAGTTAATGTTCGTTGACCATGATGGTCAAACAACGGAGATTGACGACTACTCAGACCTTGGGGAGTTCACAGAGCACGATGGGGGTGGTGAGACTTCAGATGGTGGAGTCGTGGCACCCATCAAGGAAAAGGCTAGGGGGGCCGGGAAGAAGAAGGTAGGACGGTCCACAGGTCAGGGCGACCAAGGAACACCCGCATGGGTGAAGATTGGTTTAGAATATGAGGTGTGGCGTGACCGCGTTGCTAAAGGTACATGCATGAACTGTGGCAACTATGGCCACACGTCCAGAACTGTAGCTTCTACGCTAGCCAACAAGCACCAAATGGTGGTAAAGGACTATGTCAAGGACGTAGCCTGTTCCTTCTCCTATGGAGGAGGGGAAGTGATCCACAAGATCTTTTTCCTGGTAAGCGACGAACTGCCATTCGATATGCTACTAGGCATGTACTACCTCGAAGTCTCGCAACCTCAGTTTGACTGGGATAGAAAGGTGTTGATCCACAAATTGCCCAACGGTAGAACAGTTAGATTGCAAAAGTTCAAAGCTAGCAGTCTAATAGAAAACTACGGGTGTATGTTCGCCTCATCCTTCTGTAACTACTATAAGCAGAATCAAGAGGAGGGCATGTATCTAGTCTTTGTCCCTGAAAAAGGGGAGGCCGTTAAAGCACCCCCAGAGATAGAAAGAGTCGTCGTACAATGTTCAGACCTTTTTGAGGAGCCCACAGGTGTGGTGGAAAGGGAGGTTGTACATGCAATAGAGATTGTCCCAGGTAGTAAGGTGCCTAGAGGATGAATCTATAGGATGTCTCCCCTGGGGTTAGACGAACTTCGCCGCCAGCTCAAGGAGCTCACAGAGAAGGGATGGATACGGCCTAGTACCTCCCCTTATGGTGTGCCAGTCTTATTTGTTCCTAAGAAGGGAGGTCCATTAAGGATGTGCATTGACTATAGGGGCCTCAATGCCATCACCGTTAAGAACGCGGAGCCCCTACCCCGCATTGACGACCTCTTGGATAGAGTGCAGGGATGTCGGTACGTCACAAAGATAGATCTGAAGTCGGGATACCATCAAATTGCCGTTAGGCCTGAGGACCAACACAAAACCGCATTTCAGACCAGGTACGGTCTGTACGAGTTTGTGGTGATGCCTTTTGGCCTATGCAATGCGCCTGGTACGTTCCAGCACGCGATGAATAGGATCTTTCATGACTACTGGGACAAGTTTATCGTCGTGTACCTCGACGATATTCTCATCTTTAGTAGGACTGTAGAGGAGCACGTTGAGCACCTGAAAACAGTGCTAGGTCTCCTAAGACAGCACCAGTACAAGGTAAACTTGGATAAATGCGAGTTTGGTCGCACCAAGATCTTGTACTTGGGTCATGAAATTTCAGCAGATGGATTGAGGCCGGAAGATGCAAAGGTGGCCAGCATACGTGACTGGCCCAGACCTCAAACTATTACTGAGGTCGGATCGTTTTTGGGGATGACGGGCTATTATCGTCCGTTTGTGAAGAACTATAGTACTATAGCTTCCCCATTAACAGATCTAACTCGACT